CCACCCCGCAGAATTTTAAAACATTCAGGGTGTCCGATGTGTTGCTGACCTGACATGATCTCTCACGTTCATGTACTATTGAATGAAGATCTCAGGACAGTTCCTGATCAAATTCAAGAAATAGAAGTGAAGAAAAAGCTATTCAGGTTGGACGATCACCAATGACTACCCGTTTCTGCAACAGGACTCCCTATCCCAACCACCACCAGTAGGATCTACCTTCTCGGATCAGAGTTATTGAGCATGTCCGGTCTGATGGTTTAAGCTCGTATACCTCAACTGCGAGACTAATCAGCGAGCCGACAACGGACCGAAGAGAGAAAAAGAAGCGGAGGGAGAGAGCCGGGGTGAAAAGAGAGAAGTCGAGGGTATTTGCAGCAGGGCTACGAAAGGGGTAGGCATAATGACAGAACTCTCATTCCGAATAGTTTTGGACTTTGTTGAAGCGAGGATCATGCAACTTCATCGCATTTCGAGTTCAGTCGCAGATGGGGCAGAAGGAGAAGCATTGCAAATAACTAGACGCTTGGGAATAGAAGGGGAGGGACGACGAGAAGGGCAAGGAGGTGAACGAACACAACGTAGAGTGGATGCTTCCTTTCAGCGGGCAGCTGCTGAAGGCGCTCGAACTCGGCCGGGAGATCGGGGAGGGATACAACTGCTTTCTATGGGAAGAGATATCAAGCATGTCGAGCCACTCAACAGTGAAGGAGGGGGTTCGCCAACTCTTGCCGAGTTGAGGGCATAAGGCAGGGGGATCGAGGCCTATGTTCTCCTGTGGTTATTTCGCCTATCTCCGCCGCCTTGCAGTCCAAGGAGCACAGGTCATCTGTCTGATGCGAGGAGACCGTGCCACGTTGCGAATAAGTTCAGGGAGACCTATCAGAATGAGGCGCATGCGTAGGAGCTACAATCGGTAGTAGCTCGCTCAAGAGAAAGCTGGGTTCAAGCGACCACGAAGGAGAGGAGGAAGAAATGGGAGGACGTAGAAGTAAGACGGCGCCCATTGTCCAGGACAGTTCGAGATGCGCATCGAGTTCCGTTCCACTTCGACAAACCTCTTAGGGCAATGGGGAAGACACCACAGGCTATGACTACAAAACAGCGGCGACAAGAGGCGCCCAGGACTCCGGCGGAGCTCTCCAGACGAGCAAAATGATTGCCAAACTTCCACGACATCATGGAAAGATACAGAGCGATAGTTTATGTCATTAACGCATTTCGCGAGTGGTGAGGGGATGCCACACTACGGCCCACGACATCCCTTCCGCTACTTCGCCTCCTCTTCACATGGACACCAGTCTTCACCCGAATAGAACGCCCAGTAATCCTCGCCGTGTCCGAACTGGCCGTCGGACCGACTACGCAATAATGACCAGGCGTTCTGTTCGGGTGCGCAGCTACAACGACCACCATGTGTTCTGTGCAGGTGAGGAAGGTTGACACATTCACCAACTACCGACATCGCCGAGAGTTATCCACTGCATCGACAAGCCGCGAACAGGAGATCGATGAAACACATTCCCCAACGAACGATACGGCACATACGACAAATTTTCACAGAACTTTTGAGCAGCGGCGCATGAGAGTTCGGTATGCTTTAGCCAAGAGCAAGATAGGATTCAATCACATCATGCATTGCACTACAAAAGAGTCGAAATTCAAAAAGAATAGCAATCAACCCACAAAACTTACAATCGAAACCACAGATTGATGTCGAAAAACCTCCAAAAAGACTTGGGAATGCGAAAGCCGGATATATAACTCGTCTATCGCAAGCCTGCTTCAATTAGCCAAAACCTTTACATCCTCCATCACAACAGCACCCAGTAGTTCCGAAGGCTGTAGGTCTGTATCACAGGCCTGGTCGGGCCCAGCTCAAGAGCGAAAAACCATCTATCTTCTCCCTAGAGACAAGCCGATGACGGACCTCAAATCGACAGCAAAGACAAATCTTTGCTGTCCATGCTCATGGACCAAAAATTCGACCTTCAAGCCAAGCCCCGGCAACGTTAAACCTAATACCACCACTAAGCGGCACCAGCACCACCCTTGCCCTTCTTCTTCTGGATCTTCTTCAGGTAGAACTCCAACTCCTTCGCTTCAAGAATGTACCTGCAGAGGAAAATTAATTAGGGCAATTGTCAGAAATCATCTCGCATGCCAACACCTCAGCAACCGCTACACTCACCGCCAAAAACGACATAAGTCGACATCAAGATTAGAAGAGAAATGCCGACGAAAAATGTAGCGGAGCAAGGGCCTCTGACGAGGACCTGTGACACTAACACTTAAAATAACGTACAATTTCTATCTTTACATCCAGAAACTGTGATCATTACAATAGCCAGATACATTGGCGAGTGCAAGAGTAGTTCCTTGTTCTCCAGCTGATTCGATTACAATCGTCCATGGAACGCAACAAAAACACAACCCTAATCTCAATCGAGAGGAACTAAAGTGACCCAGCCCTTCAACGAAACCCCACAGTATATCTGCACAAATCAGATCACGATTTCCCGATTTAACACAGTCGTTTTTATTTTCCAGCTGAAGCCATCAGAATCGTTCACGGAAAACAACAAACGCACACAACCCTAATCCCAGTCCAGAGAAGTTGGATGACACTCAGCCCTTCAAGGAAACCCCACATAAGCCCCGCACACATTAGATGTGAAGCTTTCATGATTTAGTCCAAGTTCAAGACTGGCAAATTCCAGAAAACAAAACGACCTGGCTCTACATGCCATTCATCGGATGTCGTATGAAGCACACTCATGTCAAACTTTGCCCAGTGGCAAACAGTGATTCGACTAGTACGAAAGAATCTCTCGTTACACGACTTTCATCTGACGACTTTAGCAATACCACAATTTAGGTATTTCCTCATTCAAAGGGGTTCATCGACAGCTCCCGTTCCTTGTTCACTCTTCTTAAAACTAGTTCATTCTTACATCGGGAGACGAGATTCCACTCACCCGTCAGCACGGCCGCACTGTCCAGGACGAGAGCATAGACAAGCAAGCAAACGTCCGCTTGCGAATTGGTCCTCAAGGTGCGAGTCCAAAGTCCGCCCTTCCTGCCTTTTCTCCAGCTTCCGCATCACGTGGTTGCTCTTCTTCGAGGCATCAACTGCCTGAGCGGCAGCATCCTGCAGCCAAACGGTCAAGAGAGAAAACACCTTCAGTTAACTCTTCTCGCCCAGTCAGAAGTTACAGTCAACTCGACGTAAGGACTCGGCCCTTCGCAAGCAACAAAACGCATCCACTACCTGAAGCCTCCTCGTCAAGACGCAATTGGGCAAGAGGTGACGAACAAACTAGGGTTCATCATAGTTAACGGGGCCCTTTCCATTCACTACATGCTCGAGACTTCTTGTCAAGACGCAATTTCAGAGAGAGAGAGAGGTAACGACCTAACTATGGCTGATCGTAGTTTGGGGAGCCCTCAGAGACGATACATACCTCGCCTTCTTTGACGACAACCTTCTTCTTCTTGCCAATATCAACTCCGTAATGCGTCAAGTACCATTGCCTGAATGGCGCAGCATCAATCTGCACAATAGCGTTCTTCACGAGAGTCTGCGTCCGCACCAGCTCATTATTGGAAGCGTTGTACACGACGTCCAAGATACGAGTTTTACGCGTGATGGCTTCCGAGCCCCATGCGTAATTACCCGAGTCAAGTCTCAAAGCACGGAATTTATAGTTGCCACCGCGCACTCGCACTCTACGCACCGTCTTGTTGCTCGACAATTTCGTGTTAGCCGGTTGGCGACCGAGCTCGTACCTGCAAACACAACATGGCCGCCGACGGCTCAGAAAAAGATTCGGAAACAGTTTGCGTACTCATGCCAGGTGAGATGCTCGCGTACAAGCGTACTCATCAGAGAACAGCAGAGGCAGGAGATAAACAGAGGGCAAATAAAGCCTTTACACAGGGGAGATCCGATATCTCAAACACAAACCACACACCACGAACAGGGCATCCACCAACGAAGTGAACGAGGACAAATGAGATCGTCCGGACTGTCTAGAAAAGGAGAATTTTCTGTAAACGACCGTGACAAGCTGTAGGAAACACTACTGGGGAAATGGTAGTGACAAGCTGGAGAGAAGACCAGTCGTCAAGAGAGCGGTGAAATCTAATGAAGGCAGTCAACTCAGGGAAAAGGGAGCGAAGGCGTTACGAAAGGACGGGGGGAGGCGCAAAAACGTAGCGAAAAGCAGCGGAGAAAATGGTTTAGTAACTGGATATCGGGAGGCGGGGAGAAGTCACGCAAAAGGAGTCGGGTAAGAGATCGGCGAGGGCTCGCGAAGGTTAAAAATCGTGTATCAAATGAGGTGGGGCAAGGCGAACAGCGGGAAGCTTGGAATGGTGGGTGAGAGAGTGGAGGAAGATCACGTAGACGAAAGAGTAGAAATGAGAAGAGGAGGGAGACGAAGAGAGACTAGAGGAGATGGGAAGAGGTGAAAACGCGATGATAAGAAAGTCGTGAAGACGGAAGAAAGAAGGGCACCCATGAAAGCACAGTGGAACTGGTGGAGGGATGGCCGATCTGCTAGGAAAACCGGGAACAAACTCGCAAGACAAACACAATGGAGCACGCAGGAAAAAGAAATTACCGAGAAGGGAGTGATCACCTTAGAAGATAATGGAAGCGCACCCTTAAAGGGCGGGAAGATTAGCCTGAGAGTGCGCCACGGAACTCGTGACAAGGCGAGAGAGAGCGTGCGAAAAGACGACGAGACAACGCGTCGTCACGGGCAAAAGAGATGACGCTTGGATACATTACACAGCACCATGAGGAAGCCCCAGGGAATGGACAAGAGAACGCGCGGGAAGACAAGAGGTATTGGGAGGACAAGGGGGAAGGAGGGAATGTTGAAAACACATGAAAGGGAAAAGGTAAGCTGCGGACAATTGAGGACGGGAGGAGGGAGGAGTGAAATAACATGTATCATACTTGAAGAGACCACAGGAAGCAAAGGTGGAGAGGAGGGGGAGGAAGAGAAAGGATGAAAACATGCGTACGATAAATGAAGAGGCCACAGGAAACAAAGGCGGAGATGGAAGAAGGAAATAAGGAGTGCTACGAAGAAGGGCTTAAACCCCTGACTTAACCAGGGGGCCGCTGGACTAACGAGACGACAGAGGTAGGAAAAGACGCTCAATGAGGCGGACGGGGACGACAGGAATAGGACGTCCAAATGGCTGAGTTCTGGAGGGAGCACTTTCCACGGCACTCACTTTCTCTTCTTCCGCCATGCCTTCTTCTTTCCTCCTGTCGCGCGTCTCTTGTGGGTGGAAGAGCGTGAGATACCTGCAACCCAACATGCAGAAGACAGGTTTCTCAGTTAGCGTACATCACGTGCATGGAGGCTGGGTCAACTAGATCCTTGTCATCGACGAAAAGCAATGTTCGCAGCAGTAGGAGGATGGTAGTTGCCATCGCCAACAGGAGAAGAAACACATACCCATGATTCCGAGCTAACAACACTCCCAGACGAACCGGCTGCAAAGAGGGGAAGGAAACAGGAGCCGGGCGAGTTTATGTTTGGTACGTTCCACCGTCCTGGGCTTCGACAGAGCCCGGCGAGTTTATGTTTGGTACTTCCACAGTCCTGGGCCTCGCAATTCGCAGCCAGCAGACTGCGCCTCAGGGCCCCACTGCACTACACCCCACACCACGGGATGAATAGTCACCCCCGGTGGGTGTCGACCCAAGGGCCTCACCTCTCCACATTCTCACGCCGGTTTTTTTCGGACTCACCCCACCCCACTCAACTGCGATGAGCCTGCTTCGTTGCCCGGGGGGRKGGGGGSSGGGGGGGGGGGGGGGGGGAGCGGGGAACCGTGCACGTAGGTCGAACCAGGCAGCCTCAATCGATAAACACTCAGGATCCCTCGACGTGAAGGGAGACCACAAGTATGGGGTACGTGTCAAACGGTGCCCTTTGTGCACCACATTGCTTAAGGCGACTAAAAGAGCGACAGGGATAGAGAGCACCAGGTTAGTTTTTTCCCTTTATTCTTTCATTCTTATGTTATTAGTGGGGGGCTTCGGGTTCTCCTAATTTTGTCATAACCTTTTTTTTTCAATAACACTTAAGATTGTTGTCCTTGCTTTTTTTCGTAACTATAAAAGCGCATTAGCAAGTGCAAAACGAAAAATTCTCATTTTTTACATAACAGAATAGTATTTTTATTTTAGATTAGAGGTAAATTTTTTTCTTATGACAATTTATTACAATTGTAATCGCTATGATATACGATACGATTTACAACAACAAGGATCATTTTTAAAATATAATACTTGTGTAAATATTTTAAAAAATATTGGGAATACTGATAAAAATGTATTGTTCATAACGAATAGAGCGTTATGTTATGCATTCGGGTAACGACTCTCTTTACAACCAAAGTCTTAACTGTATAATGAAAATATAACTAAATCATTACATTTGATTCAATATTTTATAATTATAAAATGTGTGGAAAAATATAACAGAAGACTAAGTAAAGGTGATAAATAAACCTAATTGTTAGTAATATTGAAAGGTTAAAATAAATATTATACCCCAAATCACTATCAAATTCTGTTTCATTACAATTTTATTTTACAAACGTTAAGGGGTGTTGAGTAAGCACGAAAGGAGGAAAAAAAACTTGTTTCATAGCCAGGTGGGTGAAAAACTCAAAGTTAAAACATATTAATTATGAAAGAGAAAATAACTAAAGAGAATAAGTAAAATATTATAGTAAAAATGGTTAGGATAAAGAGATTTATACTTGCTAATGAAGAAACTATAGTAGGAATAAGCAGAGAGTTGGTTGATTATATGGACTCTATGAAAGTGAAGACATGGCCTGAGCTAAAAACCCATATTAAAAAATTATATAATTCAAAGGTTAAAAGGTGCATTAGCAAATTAATGAATATAAATTATTTAGTATTTATTATAGCTAGATTGATGCTTCATAATTCACATATATGTTAAGGTAAAGATGATTTGTGAAAGCGTCAGTTACTGTTTCAACCATGTTGTAGAGTGGTTTAATTTTTATATTTTTATTTTTTTTAATAATTTTATTTAAACACCACTTCCAACTTGAAAAAGAAATTGGACTACTATTGAATGTCAGAAGTCGTTAAAATTAATTTGAGAGTGTGTTTTACCACACTGCATTCTCGACATTGGAAGAACTCGGTTTTTTAGGTTATGAGGCACACTTTCGAGAGTTCAATATGGCGATGCACCCACTCACAGATTTGAGATTGGTCCTACACGAGAAAAACGTACCCGTTACGAGCGGATGGAGGGAAGGGAAGTGGTACAACGACAGGGGCGGTGAAACTTTGCCTTAACATTTGAACTCATGAATATTCTAGAGATTATAACCAACTTTTTTTGTGCGGCTCTGTCTCTCCCAATGGGTCAGTTTTCACGCGTGTTCCCTATCATCAGGGCAGTCGAGTGCTCACACTGTGTTTTATGTGTTCGTTGAGTTATGTGATAAACTCTCTCCTTTGTTGGAAAAAGTGTACGAGAATATTCACCGACTACCATAGCTTGGGTGGGGTTCATAGAGCAAAGAGAGACACTTATTACGCTCATATTTCTCTGTCTTCCACAATGGAAATAGTTGACTCCTCCTCCTCCTTCCCAACTTCCTCTCCGCCTGTTGTTTTTCTACCTCTTATGGGAGAAGCGTGACTAAGGTCTCTGTCGTGTTACCAACGGGAATTATTCATTTATTTTTTGTATCCTCGTTCTCATATCCTTGTACGATTTGCTTTCTCTCTCTCTCTTTCCACATGAGCCAATGTCTTGTGGTCGTTGCAAATATTTGTGTTTCTAGAGTGTGATTTTTTTTTCTCTATCTCTCTCCTTCTCTCTCCCTCTAATATGTTAGCACATGATTGTCGTTGTACAATTTGTTATTCATGTATATATATATATATATATATATATATATATATATATATATCTGCCTACGGTTTACCGGGCAGTTCTATTTGACGATATATATATATATATATATATATTTGCTCTCGTTCTCTCTTTGACCTGTCAGTATATGGTCATCGATGTATAACGCATCGTCCATTTATTTTTATATTATTTACTCTCTCTCTCTTTCTCTCTCTCTTTCCCACTCTCTCTCTTTCTCTTTCTCCCTCTTTCTCTCATTGCTACGTTGGTTATTGCTGTATAACTTGTTGTTCATATTTTTTTCTCATCATCGATTTTTTTCCCCCTTTCTCTTTGTTTGATATGTTATCATGTGGTCATCACTCTACAACTTAGTGATATTTTTTTTCCTTTTATGATTAACTTTTTTTTCCCCCCTCTCTTTTACACACACACACACACATACTCGATATGCATACATTGGTGTTACTTTATAAACAACCGAAAATGTCGAAGAATGAAAGGTAAGTTTTTTTTTTTTTTTTTTAACTGTGTAATTTTACTCATCCGTTTGTATGTTGATCTGAACTTGGGTCTGTACTTCAACCATATGTAGTGTTTTCCTTCTGGACGACATTGCAAAATACTGTAAGTTTTATAGTTGATAAGGTGTCACTTTTTTCGCTTGATTAGTAGCAATTTATTATTTTTTTCTTCCTCCGTTGTCTATGTATGAAAGTATCACGTATACTAATAAAAACAGATGAATTGTTAACGCTATTTTGTCATAGTACTTTCAAGAAAGTACCAATATTCATATACCTCCTCCTCTTTGCTCTCTTTTGCTCCTCCTGTATATTTTTTTTTATTTTTATTTTTTTTACTTCTTTCCTTCTGCAGGTCAGAAAGAGTGGTGGTGGTGTGAAGGCAAGCACAAGATTTGTGTCCCTGACCTAAAAGGGGAATTCATAGGAAAAAGGAATGCGAGAAAAAGGAGGGGCAATAAAAAGAGAAAAAAATGGGAAAAAAAAAAATAATTTTGAATTATCAGGGCAACCGTCCTTACCTTTATTTGTACGTCCTGTTAATTTGAACTTCTAACACTGCACGTTTGAAGTTTTGTTGGGAGTATTTATAAAGATGTATGTAGAGAAGCATGTTACTGTGCCAGTTATATTGCTTTGTGCCTCCTCCACCTCTTTCTCATCTTCTGATAGCACTTCTTGTTCACCCTGGATTGTCATGGTAGATCGTCGCGGAAAAGACACAAATGAAACAACATTGAGCCGTGAATATACATCTATGGTAGCCGCAATAACCATTACATTGATGCAACATCAACATAAAGTGAATAACATTATGCAACAAAACGTTTATCATTTATGAGATGATTTTGAGAATGAGCAACTTAACATTAGAGTTTGTGAAAATTCTCGACTAGTCTACTATTACGGACTCAGCCAGAGCTCGATCCCTAGTCTGCAGGTTACCACCGGCTAGGTTGCTATTCTATTTTTTTTAGTCTCTGATCTCCGGTTCCTGACTCTTGGCGCCCTCTGTAGTTGGCGTCCGTTCTTAAATCCCGCCTCTGGCACTTTTCAGTTTGGATACTTGCCGCCATCCGACATTCTAGCGCCCAAGCTCAGACCTTCGATTTTCAGTTCAGGCCCGAAGCAAATTGCACTTCTGCTCTCGGACTCAACTTGAGGCCGGTACTTAAGACCGGACTCAAGTTGAGTTCGGGGATTCAGTTTTCGGCCTCAGTGTTTGTGCTTCAGTGTGACTTGCTGTGACATTGTGTACGGAACCAAAATTGCGACTTTGCGACTTTGCCACTTTGTGTCTGCGTCCGTCGAGCCGTGTCGAGTTGAGTGAGTGTGTGTGTGTGTGCTCTCACTCCCTCCCTCTCTTCCCCAACCTCGCTTCTCTACCTCCGCCTCGTCACACTGGTATCTGAGCGGTCTTGCGACCCTCCCCCTCCGCCACGACATCGACATCGTCATCACCATTCTTGGCGCCGCCACGTCATCGTCATTGCCGCTGTTATCGTTATCATTGTCGCTACCACATCAACACCTCGTCCTTGTCCCCGCTGCCACGTCACGGATTCCTGACGTCGCCGCTCATATAAGTAACGAACAATAATTTTTTATTTTTTTATTTTTTTCTTCCTCTTGTTCTCCTCCATCGTCATTATCATCGTCGAAGTCCTTCTTCTTCTTCGTTTTTTCCGTCGTCGTTATTGTTTCTTCTTCCTATGTTTTTTTTTCCTCTTCTTTCTCCCTCCCACTTTTTCTTTTTCTTCTTTTCCCCTCCGATCCTTCTTCTTTTCCCTCCAATTGTTATCCTTCCTCCCCCGATTCTCTTCGCCCCCCCCGCTGCCTACTCGACCCTATCTCCCTGGCCCTGAATCTTCCCCCCCCGCTCGCACTTCGTCTGCCCTGCCAGTCCGATCATCCCCACCCCCGGTCTCGATCCCTCCCCCCCGTGCACCAACTTCCTCCGCGTCACTGTTCCTGCTCAGGCGATTCCCCCCTCATGATTCTCATTCCCCCCCCATCGCCGCTGATAGTCCATTGCGCCCCTCGACTCCCTTGCCTACCCGTGACCTCCCACTTTTCGCTCTTTCCCCCCCCGATCCTATTCCACCCCCCGACGACACTTTTGACCATCGGGATTCTGCCCCCACAAGATCTTCCCGACAGCGCCCTCATTTCCCGATCCCCATCTCGCTCCCCGTT